ACTTCTTATATGGAGCTCTATATAATTTAGGTTCCTTCTAAATTTGATCCTGCCCTGTGCCCAAGGTCGGCCTCTACTTATCATCCCAAACTATACACTATACAGATTAATATTATATATGATCAAATACTTATCACTGATCTCTTGGGGACATAAACTATAATAGAAACCGCATACGATAATAATGATAATCATTAATGTAAATGCAAATACGCAAAAGGCCAAAGCTAAGGTGGGAAAAAGAGAAGGCCAAGAAGAATCTGTATAGAAGAAAAGAGAGAGAGGGCTCACGAGGACGCGACCTCTCTTTCGTTACGCGGCGAGGAGTACGTACGTATAGCTAGCCACCATTTTATTCCTTTAACTTATTCAGATTTTTCTTTTTCATGTTTTAGATTCTTCTTGCTTTTTTATTCATTTAGTTATTTCTTTTTTCGGAAATTATGGGAGAAAAAAATAGTCAAAACTCTTTTATTGCTCTCTCTCTCTTTCTATATATATATATTTACAATATTTTAGTTGTATGTTGTGTCATATCATGTTTTTGTAAAAAGGTGTGATTGAGAACAAACAAAAAGAGAGAGTGTAATATAGCCACAAACGATGAACCATATATTTATGGACAATAAATATTGTTTTATTTTCTTTAAATTACTTAAGTGTTTGAAGATATATATAAATCTCTTTGTCCACTTGCTCTCATTGTTTCCCCTCAAAACATTATTAGTTACAATGTTTCTTTTAATATGATTATTTCAGAATTGGGTTCTTACGAATCTGTATTGTAAGCAAGCAATGAAAACAGATGTATGGTGATGGGGATTCGCAGATGTTATAACAAACATATAAATTTAATAAGCAAATTGGTTACAACTTACAATCCAACACACGACTAACTTGTTTTTCTAAGATCCTTAATAGCTTTATAATAACTTTTCTTCAGGTGGAAACAGGTACACTGATGCTCCATAATGATCATCATAAAATACCAAATGAATAGAATCATTAACATCTATTTGCCTATATATTAATATTACTAAATATTATCAGTTTCTATTTGCCTATAAATTAACATTACTAAATATTCGAATATACATCAAACTTAACGTTTTTTTTTTTTTTTTTGTAAACCAACGTTTATCGAATTTTTGTTTTACAGTTAACCTCTGCTTTGGCAATGTATGAACACGGATACGTGTGTACCAAAAGGCCTCAGTTTTTAGCGAACAATGTATCCGTTTAACCCACAGAAAAAGGTTAAAATGAAGTTTTATTTGGTGAAGCCACTATCACTCACTCGGGACAACCAGTTAAAAAGGTCTTTCTTAATCTAATATAGAACCATCTGCGTATAAGATAAAAGATATTTAACATCTTTTTTTTTTTATGATATCAGGAAGAACACCAATCAAAGAAATTTTTTTTTTTGTTATTATAATATTTTCAATTGATTATCGTTTCAAACGTTGGAGATTTTCTTAAAAAATTATGTCATTTGGCGAATTAGAATGACATTATTTGCGCATGCACACTTCTATAACATTATATGTGATGAATTTTCTTCTGATACATGATTTGTAGAATATGAAAATTCTAAAGGTGATATATTAATTGATTACTTTAGAGTGTAAAATTCATCTCATAGTTGGCCGATGTTGACTTATATATTGGTGACAAGGGGCAACGGCAATAAAGGCCTCAGGCCATAATACGTTAATGGAACATGCATAATTGCATATACGTAAAATTATTTTGCTTCTATATATACTTACACGATTTTCTTACATACACAGTTGACAGTTGAATATATTAAAACATCAAAAAGTGTATACATTTATTGACTTATAGACTTATAGTGGTCCGCATGTTGCAGCAAGGATGTGCAGGATTCGACAAAACATCGTGGAAGGAACAGAAGAACTGGAGGAACTAGTTTTGGAATGACTAAACATCGATCTCTCTATGGATCAACACGATCGAGGATTTGTTGTTTTCCACTCCACTTTCAAGTTTCAACCATGGTTAATTATTATATATTGCATACTTTTTTTTGGTAAATGTTTATTCCACTAAAAATGAGGTAACATGCAGGCCACTTCCATTCCATATAGTATATAACCATCTTTTTTCGTAAACCTAATTTTACTAGCACATAAATATTGAAAGTGGTGGTGAAATACGTTTGTTGCGACTGTACCACTCCAACAACAAAGAACGCATTAGATTCGTGAGCTTATTTGGTGTCCACCCTTAGCTAGGCACATCCCACTTTTGGTAGCCTTTTAGCCGTAAAAGCAAGATCTTGAACAAATGCCAAGATAACTTGAACATTATTAGTCCATTGATCGATCCAACGGTAGATAGCTCTTCTGTAAAAAAAATGGGAATGTCCAAGTTAGCAGTTTTGATTGGTTTATATCTTTTCTATTTTCATATAATTATAAGTGGACTGGTATATTCCAAAGAATATACCAGTTTCATTCTCTTTCGACCTTTCTTCCCCTCTCGTACGTGCTTCAATCATTTCTCTTAACTTGACCTAATTCTTTTTTGGTCATTAATTTTGACTTGGTATTATTTATCTCCTTTGACGGCCAATGCAAGGTCCCATTAAAAGAAAAACATACACTAGAGGCGTCATGATTATGTTAACTTTGATAGTTTAATTTGTTTCTAATAATTAATTACATAACCATGTGGCATTAATATATATGAAGAGTCAGTAAAATTCAATAAAATGGGACAAAAAGCATCAGAACAACTAATAATCTATTTGGGACTTGATGTGTGATGCGTCGAGTCCACCTATGCAATAAGTATAGAAGTGAATCAAACTATGCAACAAGTAATGCAAGTATATATTCATCATGGTCTAATCAATATATATTCTAATTTTGACACACCTAACTATCAATTTACCTATGAACATATTGTTTTCAAATAACTCGGACGGGTTAACGTTTCTGGTAGACATTTATTTTTTCAGTACTAAGAAAATCGGAGTTTAATTCTTTTTTTTATGTGAAGAATCAACTGTTCAGTTCTAATCATATATTCATATCTCATGATAGATTCAATGTCTATTACTAACAAGCATTTTGTTGGATGCCAATAAAAAAAAAGCAACTTCAACTCGTATGGCCATAATTAATGAATGTATATATAGATATGTAGATTCTTTTCGGTAATATATTTCACAAGTTCATAATTGGCTAAAGATGTATGAAAGGTAAATCCTTCAAACCAAGTAAATGTCGTTTTATATGTCTATAAATCTTGGTAAGAATCATGAAGGTTTATTCTCACACACACACACCATTCATTTTTAAGATATGTTTAAAGCTTCTAATGACATTTTTAGATAGCTCACTTTCTATCAATCTAAATATATATAAAAGCTCAATCCCTCGTTACGTTGTCAAATATTTTTGGTAGGAATCACAAAGGTTTATTCTCACTTACAACATATGCCTTTTTCATTTATTAAAGCTTCTAATGACATTCTGTCTCACTTTTGATCAACTTTGTATGGTTTTAAACTCTATAACCTATGATTAATTTAGGGTAATATGCCAGTTAAAATTCCATGTAAACATAAAAATAATGATAAATAGATATCTACAAAAGACTAGGAAAGGGCTACGGAATTGATAAACAAGTTAAAATGATGGTAGAAACACGAAAACGATTTAAGCGGCACAAAGTGCATACTTCTTTCATTGATTCTTTTCCCTAACTTGCAACAATGATAAATATTTCAATAAACACATGGATTTCCTATATATTCAATTCTATATAACAAATGAATTTAAGTTGTTACTCTAAAGCCATTAAAAAGTGTTCTAAGATTGACCAAGAACGAATAAAACTGAATTAGAGATTTGCTAATAACTGTATAGTCTGTATTCTCGATTTTCAGAAAGAAAGATGAAGAAAGTGTAATTGTCTAGACAAGTAGTAGCATTTAAAAGAGTCGGGCCGAAACTCTCGTTTATGAGTCTGGGGCCTAGGCCATCCATCACCTATGGTGTTTTGTATGGGCTACTACTTTGCATGCCTGCTGAATGAAAATCTTTGACACGGAAATTGAAATATATGACGTAAAAACGTTTTTGTACTATAATAATTAGAAGATTTATATGATGAAGCTTTTAGGATGTTCGAGAGAAACGAAATCATACTAAACAAGCTGATTCCATGGACTGAAAATGGCGGGGCAACAAAACCTTTAAAGAGTACATATAATTCAATGGAGATAAGAAGAAGATAAACAAAAAGTATGCATGCATATGAGGTGGAACTGATATATACAAAGTATGAAAATAATCGACGTAAATACATGTTCATAAAGTCATAACATGAAGAGCAAGTTAAAGGTACAAACAGCTGCAAAGATTATGAGGTAAATGAAATGCAAGAATGAGATGTAACTGATATGTAATAAAGGAAACTAAAATGGTTTCAAAGATGTGAAAGTATTGGATGAATTGTTAGAGGCAAATCAAACTTTCAAAAAAAAAAAAAAAAAAGAACGTTAAAAGAGAAGTCATTTATCTATTTCTTCTCGTTGAACTTATTATGTTTTGTTTGGGATAAAATGCCACATGTCAACTTTTTATTGCACAGGTGACTTGTGTTTAAGTGGTAAGGACTTTTCTCATTTGAGGGGATTAAGGAATTTTCTCCATTGAACATTTTTTTGGGTCAAATAGTCAAATAACATGCAACATGTCACGATATCATTGCACAAATGACTTGTACCTCTATATAGTATAAATAGTAATGTTGATGAAACACTTTGGTCATAACAAGTTTTAAGGCTGAAGTAGTTCTCACTTCTCTCACACCCTTGTAAACACACTTATAACAAAAAAAAAAAATTATTTTTCAAACAACGTTCGTAAACATAGCTGGCCCAACCGCAGTGGCACTCCCGTAAATATCTTCATCCGTTGCCTAAAGCATAATTTGTGAATTTTCCTTTTTTTTTGTTTTTTTTTTTGATAAATCTCCATCGTATTATATAAAACAAAGCTCGCTCTCTGCACGCACTCTACGCCGAGCCTTCTTAACGTCTTTCTCCGATCGTCGGTCTACAGATTTAAGCGATAACACTAGATCCGACGAGACCAGATCCTCTGCTTAGTCGCTAACAATGGTAAACTAGTCTCATTCCTCTCTCTCTTTCTCTTTTGTTTTCTCCAGATCTCAATTGGATTTGTTTGCGATGCGATCTTGGATATTGCATTTCATCTTTAGTTTTGCCTAATTTTGAGTGAGATCGTCGAATTCGAAATCATATCGTCAGCCTCGTATTGTTCGTATTGGTTGTAGTATTTTTTCCATGATTTCGAGTATAGTGTCTTCACTGTGTCTGGCATTTTGGTTGATTAGATTGAATTTTGAAAAGATCTGGTGTTTGTGTGCTTTTTAAGCTCTCTCTATGCGCAACATTTTTTCACGCTTTTGTAATCAGACTACATTACTGACGATTCTTCTTCTTCTTCTATTTTGTGTTGCAACAGCCTCTCAGACTCGATATCAAGGTATCCCCAATGAACTATACTAAGAACTGTTCATTTCTTCTTTATTTTAGCTGTGGCGATCATTTGATTTTGTTATGTTTTGCATCAGAGAAAATTTGCTCAACGATCAGAGAGAGTCAAATCTGTGGATCTGCATCCTACAGAACCATGGTAATTTTCAAATGACTTACCATGAAACTTATTCACATGCTATTTTTGGATGTGGTGATGGAATAATAATTTTACTCAGTCGTTGAGAACCCCCAATTTCTGTGGGTGGTACTGTAACTTATATGTTTATAACTCTTATTGCTGCTGCAAGTGACTTATATGATAAATACCTCGGTGTTACAGGATTCTAGCAAGTTTGTATTCTGGAACCCTGTGTATTTGGAACTACCAGACACAGGTGGGTGAATATTCTCTGTTTTTTAAATATATTAATGCTTGTGCCTTACACTGAACAGCCTATGACATGGGATAACCAAAACGTAAAACACATTCCATGAGGTTCAGAAGGCTGTAATTGGTCTTTTTATGCTTACTATGATTTTCTTTAATTTCTTCTGATATGAATTTATTCTGACTATCCTCAGACGATTACAAAATCCTTCGAGGTGACCGAATTGCCAGGTATAACAAGTTTATGAGCATCTTTTGTTTTCATTGTTATAGATTTTTTACTTGCTGTATATTGATTTGTTTAGTCTGTCACTGTTGCTGACTGTTATATATGCTTTTGCAGTGAGGTCAGCCAAGTTTATTCCACGCAAGCAATGGGTTGTGGCTGGAGCTGATGATATGTACATCCGTGTATACAATTACAATACAATGGACAAGGTCAAAGTATTCGAGGCTCATTCGGATTACATTAGGTGTGTAGCTGTCCATCCAACCCTTCCATATGTGCTATCATCTTCTGATGATATGCTCATAAAGCTTTGGGACTGGGAAAATGGTTGGGCTTGTACTCAGATATTTGAGGGGCATTCGCACTATGTGATGCAAGTGGTATTCAATCCAAAAGACACCAACACTTTTGCCAGTGCATCGCTTGATCGGACCATAAAGGTGTGAAAGAGCCCCGGGCCCTTAGATTTATGGCTTAAGGTGCTTTAATAAGTGTTTGCTCTGACTAAAATTTCATGCGTGTTCATCTTCAGATATGGAATCTTGGTTCCCCAGACCCAAATTTTACACTGGATGCTCATCAGAAAGGAGTCAACTGCGTAGATTATTTCACAGGGGGTGACAAACCCTACTTAATTACTGGCTCTGATGATCATACTGCTAAGGTTTGTTTCCGGTTAAGATTCGTATATGTGCTTTGCTTCCCCTGAAATGATTTATTTGCAGATTATTTTACTTGTGGGACATTTTCAGGTATGGGACTATCAAACCAAGAGTTGTGTTCAGACGCTAGATGGACACACACACAATGTATCTGCCGTATGTTTCCATCCTGAGCTTCCAATAATAATCACAGGTTCTGAGGATGGCACTGTTCGCATTTGGCACTCCACGACTTACAGGTATATTTACCTAAAATTATTTCTGTCAAAAGACATAACATTGCTGATATTTTTTGGGCCTCGCTCATGACTCAACTACACCTTGTGTACATGGGGTTGTTTCTTGTATACATTTTCAACATAGGTTTCCTTTCATTATTTTCGTTTGATTTGTTATTTTCAATCTATCTTTCTCTTTCAGGCTAGAAAACACATTGAATTACGGTCTTGAGAGAGTTTGGGCCATTGGTTACATCAAAAGTTCGCGGCGGTGAGTTTTTACTCCCTAATTAATGCATTTTATAATTTTGATCCGGGGGTAGATGTTTTCTATAGGTAGAATAGTTGTTTTGTCCTTTCTGTAGTTAGTATTCCTCCGAAATTGACGATTTGGAGAGATAAGGGCACTTAGAGTTGCTAGGAGCTTTTGATGGATCAGTGTTTTGACCTTTTTCAACTGATTATACTGGACCATCAACAGCGAATGTATTTGTATTTTACAGGGTTGTGATTGGATATGATGAAGGAACCATCATGGTTAAACTTGGACGAGAAATTCCTGTTGCTAGCATGGACAGTAGCGGAAAAATCATATGGGCTAAGCATAATGAAATTCAAACTGCAAACATCAAAAGTATTGGTGCAGGTTACGAGGTCTAGCTCCTATTTTGTAACTCTTGTATTCGGGCATGGGAAAACCTGTGTGACTCGACTCTTTATTTGTACTGCCTGATGAGTTTTAGCTTTCATCTCTCTACCTTAGGCTACTGATGGAGAAAGACTTCCCTTGTCTGTTAAAGAGCTGGGGACCTGTGATCTTTATCCACAAGTGAGTGTTACTATACAATAACATTCAAAACTTTTTCTGATGTGTTGAACTATTATATGATCTTTTGGGGTAAACATTTTTGATGCATGTCCCACCTAAATGGGTGTGATGGACATGCTTCAGCTAAATCTTAGGTTTTATGGTTATTTAAAACAGTATTATTTTTGAAATGAAACGTTAAGAGATGATAAAATGAAACTATGTATCATATGAAGTCCCCCAAGAGTGTGGTCCAGAATAATCATATCTTGTATCTCATATATAGCCATTTTCACTCTCAGAGCTTGAAGCACAACCCTAATGGGAGGTTTGTCGTTGTTTGTGGTGATGGAGAGTACATAATCTACACAGCTTTAGCTTGGAGAAATAGATCTTTCGGGTCTGGGCTGGAATTTGTTTGGTCATCCGAGGGGGAATGTGCAGTTAGAGAAAGTTCATCAAAGATAAAGATATTCAGTAAAAATTTCCAGGTTTGCTATTCTCATTGTGGTCTTACTTATACAATTTTGTTAAGTGCGATTCTAGGGAGAGACAGCTATTGCTGGGTCTGCTGTATTAATAAAAGGTGTTGTTTTCAGGAAAGGAAGAGTATTCGGCCTACTTTCTCAGCTGAGAAGATCTTTGGAGGAACCTTGTTAGCAATGTGTTCAAATGATTTCATCTGCTTTTATGATTGGGCTGAATGCAGGCTGATTCAACAAATTGATGTCACAGTAAAGGTATCCCAATTCACTTGTCTCTGTTGTGAGAAGTTTGCCCTCATCACGTTTGTCAATTCTCTCTTTACATTTTATTTCATTCAGAAGTTGTCTCCATTTGCGTCTTTACTAATTCTTTAGTGCTCCCACGAAAAATCTGCAGAATCTTTATTGGGCCGAAAGTGGTGATTTAGTAGCCATTGCTAGTGATACGTCATTCTACATCTTGAAGTACAATGTGAGAATCTATTCAACCTCAATTCTCCAGCTATATATATCCAGTTTCGTGGATTGTCCAAAAGCTTACACTGGTATTCCTCTTGATGTTGCTGTTACAGCGTGACTTGGTTTCCTCGCATTTTGATAGTGGAAGGCCAACTGATGAAGAGGGTGTTGATGATGCTTTCGAGGTTCTCCACGAAATGGACGAACGTGTCAGGACAGGTATATGGTTTGGGGACTGCTTCATTTACAACAACTCTTCTTGGAAGCTTAACTATTGTGTTGGAGGCGAGGTACCCAAGAGTGTATTTTGTTTTCTAATCATCTTTATGAGCTACATTATATCTAGCTGCTAATATACTTATGGCAGGTAACCACAATGTATCATTTGGACCGCCCAATGTATCTGTTAGGCTATATTGCCAACCAAAGCCGGGTGTACTTAGTAGACAAAGAATTCAAGTACGTTTTCCTATTTTTGTTTTATTTCAGACTGTTTTGTACTGCATACAGAATTTGCTGACGTATTTTACCTTTTTATGGGAACGCAGTGTCATAGGATATACCTTGCTCCTTAGCCTGATTGAATACAAGACTCTTGTGATGCGAGGCGATTTGGATAAAGCGAATCAAATTTTACCTACAATTCCTAAAGAGCAGCATAACAGGTACGTTATTGGTTATTTTGGTGTAAAATTTACACTCACTTGTAATTCATTCTTTACTGCACTTTATCTCCTCTTGCCTGCTATGTCTTATGTGATCTTATTTTTGAAGAATACAGTATTGTGATATGTTCTGTTGAAGATGTTAGTGAGGATCTACAGTTTGATACTATACATATATGCCCTCCTAACTATTGGGGTTTCACTATTTTGTGTGCATCTCTTTTAGTTTCATCCAGAAATGTTTTTAATTTTCAGTGTTGCTCATTTCTTGGAATCTCGGGGAATGATTGAAGATGCTTTAGAAATTGCTACAGATCCTGACTACAAATTTGATCTGGCCATACAATTGGGTAGACTTGAAATTGCAAAGGTAATATGATAAGTGATGCTTAATTGTTTAGGAATTACTCTTACAACATTTGGAAGTAGATTTTCTTTTTATCTTATCCTTTTTCCCCCATAATTGTAGGAAATTGCTGAAGAAGTACAGAGCGAGTCTAAATGGAAGCAGTTAGGAGAGTTAGCCATGTCCTCTGGGAAGGTACATCTTTTCTATAAAAGATTGTTACCCAAATAATTGTATTAGTAATAAGAAAATTAGCTTTCTATCCAAATGCTATATCAGTTGGTTTACTACTTTACATTGTATTGATAGGAGCGAATTGCTATGTTTAGATCTTACAATGGCAATAAGCTTTCTTCTAGGCTTCTAGTCTTTGCAGAATCATCTTTGATGTCGACTAACTAAGCGAATATTTTCATTTGTGTGTGTTCCATCATGGCAGCTGCAACTGGCCGAGGATTGCATGAAGTATGCTATGGATTTGAGTGGTTTGTTACTACTATATTCTTCTTTGGGAGATGCTGAAGGGGTGTCAAAACTTGCATGCCTTGCTAAGGAACAGGGGAAGAACAATGTTGCCTTTCTTTGCTTATTTACGCTGGGTAGATTGGAAGATTGTCTGCAGTTATTGGTAGAGAGGTATTTCATTAGTGTTCACTTGGCCATTTGTAAAGTCAAATCTTTGTGCCTTTTGTTATCTCTATAAATGGATTTTATTATGACAGTAACCGGATACCAGAAGCTGCGCTGATGGCACGATCTTATCTTCCAAGCAAAGTTTCAGAGATAGTAGCTCTTTGGAGAGAAGATCTCAGCAAGGTTATTTTCTCATCCTATTTATTTACTGTGTCAGTGAGAAGATATGTCAAGTGGTTTTAAAGTTGCCTTTGGCTTGGTATCAGGTTAATTCAAAAGCAGCAGAATCTTTAGCTGATCCGGAAGAGTACCCAAATCTTTTTGAGGATTGGCAAGTAGCTCTTTCTGTTGAAGCAAACACAGCAGAGACAAGGTATTTTGCATTTTTCTCCATGGTCTTTGCAGCGTCAAACTGTACTTCAAAAGTTGTATATATACCTCGATATGATGGCATGGGTGCCCGTATGGAAACCTTATCCTTGAGCCACTCATTATTTCCCATGATTATGCTTTGAGATGGTTAATGTTGATACTTCATACCCAGAGTGTCATTATTGAGGCCAACACAAGAAATTGACTCTTGTTCATCTACAGGGGAGTTTATACTGCTGCAGAAAATTATCCATCCCATGCCGATAAATCCTCCATTACCCTCGTGGAAGCCTTTAGAAACCTGCAAGTTGAAGCAGAGGAATCACTTGAAAATGGAGATATCAATCACGAGGTATTCTTTTGGAACTTGTTCGTTTGAATCGTTCGCTAAGCAGACAACAGCTTTACTTTCTAAAGGATTGGTAGCTGAATTGTTTGTTGAACATTGTGCAGGTAGCAGAGGAAAACGGTCATGTAGGGAATGAAGGAGCTGAAGAGAAACAAGAAGAAGAAGAAGTGAATGAAGAAGAGGGAGTGGTGGATGCAGACTCTACGGATGGCGCTGTACTAGTTAATGGAAGTGAGGCTGAAGAAGAGTGGGGTACGGATAACAAAGGAAACCCATCAGCCTAATAAGCAAGTCAGTCCTGGATCAATGTAGAAAAGTCGAAATTTTGTCTCTGGTGATTAAAATGAAACTTCTCCACCCCAAAAAAAAAAAATGCGCCTTATAATATATCTTCCCTTGTTCCTTGATGATTGTTAGATGATTACCCTTAGTAACATTTTTGAGTTTGCATAAAAATGGGATCAGTTGTCGTTATATGAGTTTACTTTGTTATATCTCTGCATCTTTGTGGGACTTCTCTAAAAAAAAAAGGAACTTACCATTTTCCGTTTGTCTATGTTTTGCAGTGCTTACACCACATCCCTAGCTAGTTCCATTAGCGGCCAGTTATACTCAAAGGTAAAAGATCTATCTTATCCATGGTAATTAGATTTTTTTTTTAAACCTCTTTGAAATAACTAATAAAAATATACTTGGATTCATCTTGGAGCAGGAATCAATTCTTGGTGGAAGATAAAAGAAGATATGGTGGAGATTAGAGATAAAAGAAGATTGGGATTGGGTGGGATAAAGGAAGTAGTAGTTTCATTTGTGTTTTCTTGGGATCCCCTTGGTGGTGGTGGTGTTGTGGTTTTCATATAATTACTATACAGTATTATAAAAGCTACATTTAGGGAGTTTTACATTCTTCTGCTATAGATTTCAACTCATGTTCACAGATTTCTGGTGCATATATATAATAATTCTTTTGGAAGCCTTATATATGATACCCTTTTGATTTACATATTTAAGCTACAACTATTTTACATCATGTATCAAATCAGCTACGACATATTTAAACTTATGCTCCCCCAAAACAGGTCAATCTTATTCAAGAATCAAGATATAAGGGGAAGTAGTTATATCATAGCTCGTGAACAGTTGAGAAAAGACATGGCTATCAAATTGATAGAAACCTTCAGTTAAAGCATGTCCATGGAGCTCATAACATCGATTAGGAGAAGAATAATACTAATAATAATAACAGCATAAAAGCTGAAAAATTTACCAATTTCTGAAACGAAAAGTACATGTATTTCCATATACTGTACTCTTTTTTTTTTTTTTTTGCAATGGGAGCTTTCCATTTTTCAGATTAGTGTTCTAAGGGAATAAAGTTTTGTTTCTTTTCCCCCCTTGAATTACTCTCTGTCCGACGGTCTCTCTTCGCTCCGGTGGGGGTTGGTCTGCTGCTTCGGCTTGTGCGTAAGTCTCCGAATCTGGATATACTCTTCCTCACAACTCGCTGCTCTGTTTCTTAGGGTTTCTTTTCCATATTTCTTGGTGTTGGCCATTCTACTTGCTGCTTCTTTTTAAGTTCCTTTGCTAGATTATCGTTGTGTGCTTGTCGCGAATCAGCTCCGACTTTTCCGTTTCCGGTTCTTGTGCTTTGTATCCGCTGATTTAGTGATTTGATTTCAAATTTTCCGCTGCACAATCGTATGATTTATGATCGCTTCTTGCTTCCAGATTTTGGTATGCGTTCATTAACAACATCTTAATCCTGATCCGTTCTCTCCTGTGTTATTTAATCTTAGTACAGACTTCTTTGTTCGGCTTATCAGTATCACCACTTGTTTAGGCTTCCTAGTTTGTGAATTAAGCTTTGTCGATGAGCTAGTCTGATCAATCGTGGTTGTTTGTAAGTCTTATACAACGTTGTTTTTGATTCTAGTTTTATTTGGTTCTTACCATAATTGAGGATACAATCTTTATGGAATGTTTTTGTTTTGCATTGGTGTTGTTAGGGATTCTAGCTTTGCTTGTTAAGCGTTGAGATTCTCTCGACTTTACAATGGGGGACTCAGATAATGCTCAGCAACCTTCCAAAAAGAGAGCTGCTCTCAAGGAGCTCTCTCGTGACAATCCTGGCCTTGATGATGATGATGAAGACATTTCTGCACTCGTGACTGGTACTTTCAAGACTGCAAGTGAGGAGGTGTTGGCTACCCGAAGAATTGTTAGAGTTAAGCGCAGAGATCCTTCTGCAGCTGCACCACCACCAGCTTCCAACCCATTTGCTGGAATTCGTTTGTTCCCTTTTACTGCTGAAGCTGAAGAAACGAATAAGCCTTTGTCTGGGTCAAATTCGACCCCCTCTGAAGGAAAACAAGAGACACAGGATGATGGAAGATGTGATGCGACCAAGGAAATTACTGACAGTGGCAATAAAGAGAAGAGTGAGGCAGTTACTACTGGAGAGGGTGCTGAAGCTGAAAACAAGATAGAAAGCGAGACAAAAACAAAGACAGAAATTGATGTTGCTGCTGGGGAAAAGACTGAAACGGCTAAAGATGACAATGACAATAGCGACTCTATTAAGAGGACTGACTGTGTTGACAAGGATTCAGGTGGTAATCAGACTGAGAAAGAAGGTAAAGAAGGCGATGGAAATGAAGACACAGAGAAGAATGGAGATAGTGGAGCCTTGAGCTCTTTCCACCAGCACTCCAGTAGCAAAAACGCATTCACAGGACTTGCTAGTACAGGGTTCTCTTCTTCTTCATTCTCGTTTGGTTTGGTTCCACAGGAAGGTTCAACTGGGTCTGGGTCTGTGACTGAACAATCATCCTTCAGTTTTGGCCTATCAAACAATGGAAACTCTTCCCTGTTTGGTGCATCCGGCTTTACTTCCATTACCACGAAGAGCACAGCAACTACTACTGCCTTCCCATCAAAGCAAGATGTTTCAGTGGAAACAGGAGAAGAGAACGAGAAAGCGGCCTTCACAGCTGATTCAGTAATGTTTGAATATCTTGCAGGAGGATGGAAAGAACGTGGGAAAGGAGAACTCAAGGTAAACATATCGACGACTAAGGACAGAAAAGCCAGGTTGGTGATGAGATCCAGAGGAAACTATAGGTTGATCCTAAATGCAAGTCTTTACCCGGAAATGAAACTGACGAACATGGACAAGAAAGGAATCACATTTGCTTGTGTGAATAGTATAAATGAAGCCGAGAAAGGTCTCTCTACATTCGCACTCAAGTTCAAGGACCCAGCTGTAGTGGAAGAGTTCCGAGCAGTTATCGAAAAACACAAAGAAAGTAAACCTGCCGTAGTAGAAGCAGCAGCTCCTTTAAAGACACCTGAGAACTCGCCAAGGGCTGAAGACGCTTGAAGGTAAAAACTTTGAAACATCTCGTCGTCTTAGTGTCCTTGTGTTCTTGTCTGTGTTGTTTGAAGTTCAAATTCGGCAGAGAGAATAGAGAGGTTATATAGATCACTTGAACTCCCTATGGATATCTTATTATGAATCAATATTGGATGTTACTGTTTTTCTTCAATAAGCGTTTTATAACTCAGCATCAGTTACATTCATATATAAATAACACACATCCGGCTTAATCAGTGGGCAACCCAGTACCAATACTACATCTTAATTTGTGTATAGTGGCTTCGTTTCCACTCTTGCACTATTGATCAAGGCTCGTATACTCCTGTTTGTTATTAGTGTGTTTACCGCCATGTTATGATTCAGGGTTCATTATATATGTGTGTTCATATTTTTTTATGGACAATTCTCATAAATTAATTCTGCTACTAGTGAATAAATTAACATATATGTTGTTGGAGACGAGATTGTTGAAGACGTCTTAGTTAGTGTTAATTTGTTTAAAAGATTCAAAATCTAGTCCTGATACGTACGTACGTGATTATAATAGTTATCAGTTTTGTATTATATTACCCCTCTATGTAGCACGTTTTAGAAAATTCTTGTTATGAAGAAAAAAAAAAAGAACATATAGAGCAACGAGAAGATGAAGAAATGGGGGATACGTGGGCAGCTCGGGTAGCGTTATATCCGGGAAAGAGAAGGTGTCCCCTCTCAATTAATACTCTAATCTAAATCGAATCTGCTGATCTATCGTCAACATGTCATATGCCAATTTATATTATACGTTACAAGACATGTTGATGTTTGTTATTACGATATATATGTTGAGGACTTGAGGTGAAAAGATAAGGTGGCTCTATATTTCATCATTACTACTCCCTCCATTTCAAGACAACACCAATTAAGATTATCTTTGATTCCGGTCGCTAAAAATTGCACCAGCAACAACACAAGCTCTTTATATGTACTATTTTTACAAGATTTTCTAGTGTTTATAATACGTACGTAACTACGTATTAGAACAAAGTGAGTTAGTTAAAAGTAAAAAAAGGAATCATCAAATATATATATAGTCAACGTACGTCTTGAGATCTAGAAGTCTGATTTTGAATTTATTGCTCCTCTCGATCGTTTTAAGAAATTATAAAACTATAGTTGAAGTTGATAATTGAGTGGTTTTGAGTAACACATGTGTTGTCATTCCTGTACAAAGTACAATCACATACAAATGTATTTAATTTTCGCATGTTGCACGCTAAATATTATCTTATACCTCTTTAACTTCTTTTTCTTCCCCCCATGAGTGCATAAGTATAATATATATATAAAAGGATGCGATTTGGTCGTAGTCTCGTAGAGTGTGGGGAAGATTATAAGACTCTATTGATTATAGATATATTAATTTCATACTAATGTAGTTAAATTAGTTAACCTAATTAGATTTTTTTTTTCTTTTGTTCTGTCTAGATATTGAAAAAAAAAAGAAGCATTGTTGTTACCTAAGCATAGAGATAAACAACCGATAAAGCAAATAGTGGATAATTATAACTTATAAGCTTTTCACACACTAGAAAAAACTACTGAAGCCAAAAAAATAATAATAGCGTTCATATAAAAATATTAAAGCCACGTGAATATTTATTATTAAATAAAAAAGCCACGTTAAGTTATTTTACTTGGTTTTTTATTTAAAGTCTTGTTAATATGTTTCCTCCTCAAGCTTCAGCAGTGTGTATTTTGATCTTTGTGATTACAATTTTCCACCATGGGAACGAAGTTCTTAGCTCTGTGTTTGTCTCTCTGTCTTGTTCTCTCAAGCTTCTATGAAGTTTCTTGCCAGGTAATTACACAAAATACATTTTCTTTAACACACATATACGTTACAATAAACGAATGAATCATATGATCACTTCATATATCCAAACGCATTTGACTTTTGGTTTTTAGGATGAAGGAACTGGAGGTTTGAGTTTAGATCTAATCGACCGTGAATATAAAAGTAAGTCTTAAGATTGAATAATCGTAGAGATGATCACAATTCTCTTACAAAAAAACCAGGAGATGATTTTGTTTTTTGGATGCAGCTAATGTCAACACTCTCCAAGGCAATGAAGCAGCAGATCAAAGTAAGACTTGTCCCTATCTCTATATCTTGTTTCTTTTCTTATCTGCAATTTGATTTCTAATGTAGTTTCTATGTTGTGTGTTGATTCAGCTGAGACCAGTGGTCAGAAAAACAGTACAGTGACTGAAAACAACACTATCTCTTTGTCTCTAACTGAAGAGCCAGTAGTGGAAACTCTTAAAGATTCTGTTGATACATCAGCTCAGGTTAAATATTCCTTTATAAGATTTTGGTTTAGAATGATTGACTATGGTATAAAGGTTCCTTCCAATTGATCTCTTGTTTCCTTTAACATTGGATCTTTAGGTAGGAGCTGTTACTGATGAAGTCATTAAAGGTCCGAGTATGTTGGACCATATCGAACTTGAGTTCGAAGGTAAATGAAGATGTTTACTCTGTTTTTGTTCTTTTTTTCTTAAAAAGTCTCATACATTTGATGATGTGTATTGACATGAAGAGTTTGTGGATCAAAGTATTGACATGAAGAGTTTGTATGTTTTCTTTTGTGTTTCTTGATTACAGCCCATATCAATGAACTTAAAAAGGCTGGATCTGATGTTATCAACAAAGTTGATGAATCTAAAGATGATGAAGAAGGTTAAACAAAAACAATTCTTCCTCTTTAATCAGATCCTTCTTGCTTAGAGATTGCTCTTATACTGTCTTTGTTGTTTCAGCTGCTAGGAGACATAAAATGTTGGAAGCCATTGAACGCGAGTTTGAAGGTACCTTTCGATGTTTCTGTCAAGCTTTTAAGTTTAAGTTATTGAAGTCATTGTTGTTGATAGAATCTTACTTACAAAGAGTTACTTTCAGCTGCTGCTGCTGGGTTTCAACAACTAAAGATTGATGATTCCACACAAGGGATAGATGATGAACAATGTAACAGAACTCTCTTCCTCTAGTACTTTCTACGATCACATTCTGTTCTTCCTATATATTATTCTAAGTCCAAGTTCTCTGTTCTTTTGTGTTACAGCTGCAATGAGACAAAGCATGTTGGATGAGATTGAACGTGATTTTGAAGGTATCTCTACACAACATTTATCTTTTTAATCAAGTTCTTGAACTCGAAAAAGTTAACTAACAATTATTGGTTTCTGTCTTCTTTTTGATTTCTTACTTGCAGCTGCTACAAAGGGTCTTGAACAACTAAAGGCTGATGATTTAACTGGAGTCAATGATGAAGAACATGGTAAAAGAGAACTCTCTCGTTTTTACTTTGTTTAATGCCTTGTCTGCATATTATAGTACTCTTGAGTTAGATTTTTTTTGTCTTGTTGTAGAAGCAAGGAGACAAAAGATGCTAGAAGAGATCGAAAGAGAGTTCGAAGGTATCTTGATATATACAACAAGTATGTTGTCTTAATTAGATACCATCTGCAGAACCATCCTAGACTCTGTTTTTTCCTCTGTTTTCAGAAGCTACAAAAGGTCTTGAAGAGCTAAGGCATTCAACCTCAAGCAAAGATGATGAAGCACACTGTAATACTTTGTTTCCCTCTATTCTAATGATATATTAGTCTCAGTTACAGTACTCAGAACAGAAATCTTATGTCTTTTTATAGCTGCAAAGAGAGAGAATATGCTAGATGCTATTGAACGCGAGTTTGAAGGTATTTTGACATACTCAATATTTATCTTTATTGATTCAAAATCTTTGTGCTGAAACTTCTTAGGTTAATGATTATGTTTCCTCTTCTTCAACTTTTAGCTGCTACAAGTGGTCTTAAAGAGCTAAAGATTAATGCTCACACTGTCAAAGATGATGATGATACAGAAAAAGGTAAGATATTGTTATCTCTACTTTGATACTTATTGGTTTTTTGTCCCTCATTTTAGTTTTCTGATAGAAATATATGTTATTCCTTATCTACAGCTGCCAAGAGACAAAGTATGCTAGATGCAATTGAACGCGAATTTGAAGGTAAAATTGACATACCAATCATCATATGCAGAGAGAATCTTTAAATCTTTATTGGTTTCAAGAAGTTCTAAGAGTTTGTTTCTTCTCTTGCAGCCGTTACTGAGAGTTTTAAGCAACTTGAAGATCTCGCCGACAGCAAACAGGAGGGAGACCAATGTAAGAAGATCTGTCCATTTAAAACATTTACCTTTCTTGTAGCTTTATTCTCAAAGAGGTCTTTATGTCTTTGTTATCAGCTGCAACGAGGCAAAGTATGTTGGATGAGATTGAACGTGAATTTGAAGGTGATTTTGACATTTTAATATCGCTGTTAATTCATTAGTTCTTATGGTACTGGAATCAAATCTTGAATCATTTCCTCTGTTTTGTCAAACCTTTGCAGCTGCTGCAAGTAGCCTGAAGCAACTAAATCTTGACGACTTCACTGAAGGAGATGACAATGCACAATGTAATCATTTTTCCTCTCTACCTTTTCTGCTCTCTTTTGCATCTTCCATAGCATTTTTTGAAGAATGGTTTTATATTTTGTTACAGCTGCAAAGAGAAATAGCATGCTTGAAGCTATTGAACGCGAGTTTGAAGGTTACTTTCACATGACATTTTGCACTTCTTAGCTGAACGTAAATTCAATACCAAGAGGTCAAGTAGATAAGCTTCTTCTGTTTTTTTTTTATGTTCTTACGTTACAGCTGCTACAAAAGGCCTTGAAGAGCTAAAGGCTAATGATTCAACCGATAGCAAGGATGATGATGAACATGGTAAACATTCTTCACCTTATTTATTTTTCTATTTAGTTATTTCTATTGTATCATGAATCATCTCCTTTTCCATGTTTTGTTACAGCTGCAAGGAGAAAAAGTATGCTTGACGCTATTGAACGCGAGTTTGAAGGTACTTTAACATATATTCCTCTCTCTAACTTTGAACTATCTTTGGTGCAATAAGCCTTGTTAATCGGATGAATCCAAATAATCATGATCTTACATGAATAGTTTCTTTTCCCTGTTTCAGCCGCGACAAGAGGCCTTACGGAGATAAAGAATGAATCAGAACAAGGTAAAAACTCTGATCCTTTTGTTCCACAGAGTCAGAGCCTTCTTCTGAGACACGTTTGTTAAGTCCTTTTCTCTTTTCTTAACAGCTGAAAGCAAGAGGAGCCTTATGTTGGAAGAAATCGAACGTGAATTTGAAGGTAACCTCAAGAACCAAAGAATTCATATAAAAACAAGGACAGTCCATAATCTGACAGTTTGGTTTGGTCTTCTTGTTTAATTCTAACTTGCAGCTGTTACAATTGCAAAGGCTAATGGAGATGACTGTAAGAAACTATTTTAACATTTCTCTTTATGTCATTTTCTTTCACTTTATCTATGATAGCTCGTAACTACATGTGTTGTATCAACAGCTTCGAAAAGTACATCAACCATAAATGTAGCGCAGAAAACTTATGCCGGATACAGTGGTACTTAATCTCCATATTCTCACAAACATACATTTTAAAAAGGAAACAACATCTCAATGTTTATTTGGTCTTTCTTTTACAGCTGGTTTAGAAGGTCTTCTAAAGCCTGCAGGTTAGGGTTGAAGCTCATTCTTGTGAATGTTAAGAAACTCACAAGAGAGCTATAGTACTTACTTGTATTCTCTCTGTTTTGATTTCTTGCAGATGGTGTATGTGGTTGTTTTAACCAAGACAAAGATGGTCTTAAGGCAGACACGGATTCTTCCATTAACATAGCAGAGATACTCGCTGAAGAATCCAAATCCCAGGTAGATCTTTCTTGAATAGACAATGGAAGGCTCTAACATCTAAATCAATCTCAGTTTCTTATAATCTTTTTATTTGACTTTGGTAGGGCTCAGAGACTTCTCGCCTCACCACATCATTGAACAATCTTGTTCACACCCACAGAAAAGAAACGTCCTCAAAGGTAGGCTCAGTCCTTGGCTCATCATCAGTTACTTCTACCACAAGCGAATCATCAGCTACATCAGAGAGCATAGAGAGCTTGAAGCTAACCCTAAAGAAGCTACGTGGTCTAAGCGCACGTGATCTCGTAAACCATCCAAACTTCGATGAGATTATAGCAGCCGGTACACGTTACGAGGTACTCAGCTCAGCTTCTATTGGTTACATCTCTTTGCTAGCCAAATACAAAACCGTCATTAAAGAAGGACTCGAGGCTTCTCAGAGAGTCCAGATAGCTCAAACCAGAGCCAAACTGTTGAAAGAAACCGCAATGGAGAAGCAGAGATCCGTAGACTCGGTATTCGCAGCAGCAAAGACCACGGCTCAACGAGGAGACGCGTTGCAAATCAGAATCGTTGCGATCAAGAGACTGCTGGCGAAGCTAGAAGCAGAGAAAGTGAACGTCGATTCGAAGTTCAAGTCGCTGACGACGAGTCTGTCACAGCTACTAAAGGAGGCGTCCCAGGCATACGAAGAGTATCACGAGGCGGTGCGTAAGGCAAAGGACGAGCAAGCAGCGGAGGAGTTTGCGGTAGAGACGACGAAGAGAGCAGAACATATATGGGTTGAGTTTCTTAGTTCACTTAATTGAGCTAATGAGATTCTTGATTGTATTTAAAGCACATGTTCAATTAGTTGTGGTTCTTGTCTTTTATTTTCTGGTGTTGTTTTGTTTGAGACTTTGTTTGTTGGTTATATCAGGGGAGAGAGGTTGAAGTGAACTTACCTTTCTTTAGATAAATGAGAGATTTGTGAACACACAATAATGTTTTAGTCGTCTATTAATAAAACCTTTATTTTTTTCTTTTTTTAATGATAAGAACAAAAGATAATACTGCAAAAAGGTAAAAGTCTAATTGCAATTTGTTACTTGTTAGTAATTAAATCACATTAAACAGAGATTAGTCCTACCACCTTTTTCCTGATAACTCAAAAAAGGACGTCGTAACCACTTGAATAGATTTATTTTGTCGGCTAAATTTATAACGTTCAACAAATCATAATATATTTATAATATAATGTTTTCTTTTTTTTGGGATCAAAAGTTTATATCGTCAGTTAATAATGTTAGTTATTATATTTTGTTTTCACAAATGTCCATTGGATTAGGAAGTGCTAAAAAAACAAATCAAATAATGAAAACAGAGTAGCTAGCCCACACGAGCGGCTAAGTGGTAACACGTGCGAGCCTCGGGAAAAAGCAAAACGTCGTTGGAACAAATTAAAATCAGCCACCTCTTCTCGTGCACAGGCAGCTGACAGCTCTCTGACTCCGTTAAACTCCGACTCTCTGAGCTCTCTCTCTCTCTCTCTCTCGCCGCGATTCTGCTCAGCTCTTGGAATGGCTCAAGCTTAGATCACCGGAGAAAAACTAGTGTATGCAAATGTAATGTCCTCTTCTTCTTCTTCTTCTCTTTTTGTTTCTTTCTAATTCGTCTTCGTCTGCTTCTTCTGTAAGCTTGTGTTGTTTCTCCTCTATTATACGATTCTTCTTCTAGTTTTCTTGTTGAAGTACATTGACTTTATGTTTCTTCTCTCTATCTTTTTCTCTTTGAATCGTAGATTCCTGGGGCCTCAATCTTAGTTCGGAGCATCGGAGATCCAAGTCGGAAGTCAATTTTAGCTTCGGAAACGCGTCTCTGAACTATCGGAAGTAGTAAGGAACTCCCTACGATCTTGATCTTTTATAATAAAAGCTGCTCGCTACGATCTTGATCTTTTAACATTGGGCTTTATTTGGTAATCGGAGCGACGAACTTTTTTTTATTTCGTCAACGCGCTTTCAAGTCCGAGATCCTATTTTGTTAAATGGTCTCCTTGGGAAATCTATGGAAAATTCGAGTTTGTTTATCAATTGGAATTCAAACTCCTTATATTTGGATTAGTTTGATGAGCTTGGATCACAAGTGATACTATATGTAGCTGGATATGTTTTGCATGCTGACGATTGATTTGATCTTTCTAGGTTGCTGTTTCACTGTGAGCTGAGAGACTGCTGGAATCAAAGTGATGGAGTTTGTCTAAATGCTATTCGTTCAAGTGTGGGAAATAGGATACTGAGGATGCTATTATAGCAAAGAGAAATATGGAAGATCTTCGGCTATCACCGCTTAAACTAGGCAGCTTTAAGTCTTCACTTTCAGGAAGGTCTACTCCAAAGGGTTCACCTACATTTAGGAGAGTGCATTCAGGCAGGACTCCACGTAGAGATGGGAAAGGTAGTGGTGGAGCTGTTCAGTGGTTCAGAAGTAACCGTCTGCTTTATTGGTTACTTTTGATTACTCTTTGGACATATCTTGGATTCTATGTTCAGTCCAGATGGGCGCATGATGATGATAACAAAGTTGAGTTCTTACGCTTTGGAGGCAAACTCAGAGAAGATGTTTTGCATGTGGAGCAGAACAAAAGACTGGATTCTGTTGCTAATGAGAGTTCTCATGCTGTAGTAGATAATACCAATATAGTCCATATAGGTGTAAATAAGAGGATGCATGTAACTTTGGCCAAAAAAGAGGATGTCACATCTCGACCAAGCTTGAGCTCTAGGAGGAGAACCAGAAAAGCTAGTCGTAGTTCACGTACAAGGATTCGTAGTAAGCAGAAGGTGAGAAAAGTGATGGAGACTAAGGACTCGGATGACCAAGATCAAGAACTTCCAAAGACAAATGTCACCTACGGTAAAATTTTTGGTCCGTTTGGATCACTAGAGGATAAAGTTCTTGAATGGAGTCCCCAAAAGCGATCAGGGACTTGTGACAGGAAATCAGACTTTAAACGTCTTGTTTGGTCTAGGAGATTCGTCCTGCTTTTTCATGAACTATCAATGACTGGTGCTCCAATTTCAATGATGGAGTTGGCTTCCGAGCTTTTGAGCTGTGGTGCAACAGTATATGCAGTAGTTTTGAGCAGAAGGGGTGGATTATTGCAAGAGCTCACAAGGAGAAGGATCAAAGTGGTTGAAGACAAAGGAGAGCTCAGCTTCAAAACTGCCATGAAAGCAGATCTTGTCATTGCAGGATCAGCAGTCTGTGCCTCATGGATAGGTAACGAAAAATAGATCTGCTGATTCTCTGACATCACTTTTTGCATGAGCATATATCATGTTTAGAAATGTGTACCATGTTTTTCCTTCAGCTATACTACTGGAAGTTGCATTTTGAAATAGAAGTTTTCATATATAGCATGCTCGCTTTAGATTGTTTTCTATTAGTGCAAGTTTTATATATCTGTCATCAAAACATGGTCAACATTCCTTTTCTGCCTCAAGTTTGGATACTCATTATGTTACAATCTCCGCAGATCAATACATGGATCACCATCCAGCTGGTGGAAGTCAAATCGCTTGGTGGGTGATGGAGAACCGGCGAGAGTACTTTGATCGAGCAAAACCCGTGCTCGACCGAGTGAAACTACTAATTTTTCTCTCTGAAGTACAGAGCAAACAATGGTTAGCATGGTGTGAAGAAGACCATATAAAGCTTAGGTCTCAGCCGGTTATTGTTCCGCTGTCTGTTAATGATGAGTTGGCTTTTGTTGCTGGGATTTCCAGTTCACTAAATACTCCAACACTGACCCAGGAGATGATGAGGAAGAAAAGACATACATTACGTGAATCAGTCAGAACGGAGTTCGGTTTGACAGATACAGATATGCTTGTGATGTCTCTTAGCAGCATAAACCCGGGAAAGGGACAACTTCTTCTCCTTGAATCTGCCGCCTTGGCACTGGAGAGACAACAAGAACAAGAACAAGAACCAGTGGCTAAAACTAAAAGTAGTCAGTCCAAAATCAAGAACCTCAATGGCATCAAGAAGGAAAAGATTAGTCTTTCCGTCAGACATCGTTTAAGAGGTTCACCACGGAAGATGAAAATCACATCTCCTGCAATTGAAAATCCATCCGTTCTCACTGCCACTGGTAAAAGAAAGCTGTTGTTGTCTGGCAACGTAACACAGAAACAAGACCTTAAACTTCTACTTGGATCAGTTGGGTCCAAGAGCAACAAAGTTGCATACGTTAAGGAAATGTTGAGCTTCTTGTCAAACAATGGAAACTTATCAAACTCTGTTCTGTGGACTCCAGCAACCACTCGTGTTGCCTCATTATACTCTGCTGCAGATGTCTACGTAACAAATTCCCAGGTAATCTTTCTCATCTTGATCCTGTAATCTTTCTCATCTTGATCCTTTTATGGCTGCACTCAAAACAAACACTATCAAATGCTATTTGATGTGTACTTTTGTTTACTCTCTTCAATTTGTGAAACAGGGAGTTGGTGAAACATTCGGGAGAGTTACTATCGAAGCAATGGCTTATGGTCTTCCGGTGAGAAACAAATGATAGAGAGACAAATAAGGCAATGTTCTCTCATCCTAATCATTGTTTTTTTTTTTATGGGGAACAGGTGCTTGGAACAGACGCTGGAGGAACAAAAGAGATAGTGGAGCACAATGTTACAGGGCTACTCCACCCTGTGGGGAGGCCAGGTAATAAAGTTTTAGCTCAGAACCTCTTGTTTCTTCTAAGAAACCCATCTACAAGGCTACAACTAGGTAACCAAGGACGTGAAAAGGTTGAGAAGATGTACATGAAGCAGCACATGTACAAGAGATTTGTGGACGTTCTAGTCAAATGTATGAGGCCCTAAGTGTGTACTTCCCTCGTTTAGTTTTGGTTCAGTTCTGGTAAGATCGTGTTTCAGGAAAAAAACAAAATCCCCCCCAATTCTTATAAATTTTCATGCTATTCTTTCAATTTATATTGCAATTCGAAATCTTTACTCTCTTTTTGTTGTTGGAATCTGTATCATGAAAAGCTTAATTACTTTGGCCAATTGTATTACACGTGAAGGCATCAGGCACTAATTGTTAACTGCGTTGGTAATTGTCAGGCAAGTTGTTTTTTATTATTGTATTGGGCAGAGTGAGTTACGATAGTTTAGTAAATCTTCTGATCCGCCATAAGTTTGACTTTGATGTCATAGTTTAATCCAGGGAATCTGATGCTTTGAGCTAAAGCTGTTCAGTAATCAGTACCTAACACGAAGGCAAAAAAAAAAAAGAGCAGTAGCAAAAATATTTAGAATCGTCTATATTCAACAACAAAGCTATACATGATCTTACATACATTGTTTTCATATCCATTTATATTTTTTTATTCCCACCACAACCAACAAAATGGTGATGGAGTCCAATGAATTGCTCAGTTAGATAAAGATGTCAAGATTACAGTATATCGAGTCAGAACGAAATATTTACTGGATTTCCCCTATATGTCAATGCTGTATTGCCGAAGATCTGCCTCCGACCCTTGTTCAAGTGCCAGACCCCACTCAGCTACAGAACTCTGTGGATCATATGAAACATGTAGGGGATGTTCTGAATGTCTTGATAAGCAAGTATGGTGATCTTCAGGTGCAACCTTGAATAGGCTTGGGTCTGAGTTCCAGAAGCTTTTTGGTTATTGGGGAGACATCTCAGGCTCCTGTACTCGGCAGAGGATCAGAACTTAAGTGCTCAGACCCGGTCAGAACCAACAGTGCTACAGGCGATGCTTAGTTTGTACATGTAAGTGTCCAGCACATTTCCAAAATATTGCCACTTCGCGAAACAGGATTATGTTTTCTATGGGGTGCACGGTAGCTTCCCATCATGGATCCAGGCTCTAACCCAAGGTTGTGTTGAGTACATTTATGAAGAATTAACTGAACCATGCGCTGTCTCTTATCCACTGCATAAGCAACAACTTTTAGTCTAACAGGCTATAATTCTGTTCACATCTCAGGGTTCTCTATAATCTTGAACAGTGTATCTCTGGCTTCAGAAGCAATAAACTCAAAATTTATAGCTAAATTCTTTACCAAAAATGATTTTACCCAGCCTCCAACAATGATTCAGAAGTATCAGGCAAGTATGCTGCAAATGTCGACTCTTGGGTTAATTCTTCTAGTTTCATGTAAATCTCTTCAGATTGAAGATGTGATTTGTCTCCAGCAACAAATTCGTGAGAAAATCCGTTTACCTCAATTAAACTGAAGCCTGGTGTCTTCTTAATTGCGATGTCTATCATCTTTCTTCTCACTTTTCGCAAATCCTCCCATCTTTCGCAACCTGCATATATATTGCCTAATAAAGCATAAACAGCACCATTATCAGGTTCCAACTCAAGAATCTTTTCAGCTGCCAATTCAGCCATTAGTTCATCATTATGAAGTCTACAAGCACCAAGTAGGGCTCTCCACACAATTGAGTTTGGATTCATTGGCATGTTTCTTATTATCTCATATGCTTCCTTGACTAACCCAGCTCGACCAAGTAGGTCAACCATACATCCATAATGTGCTAAACTTGGCTCAATTCTATGGTCGCTTCTCATTTTGGCGAAAATTTTCCTTGCATGGTCTACCATACCACTACGGTTACAAGCAGTGAGGACGCCAAGGTAAGTAATCCCATCTGGTTGTATTGACATTTCTTGCATTTGGAAGAAAACTTTAATGGCCTCTTGGCCTTGTCCATTGTTAGCAAGACCAACAACCATGGCTGTCCATGTGAATTTGTCTCTCTGATCCATGTCATGGAAAACCTTCTGCGCTTTTTCAGAGCACCCACATTTAAAATACATATCTATCAAAGCATTCCCTACAACAACATCGTTCTTGATATTATTTTTGTCTATGTACGTCTTCACCCATTCACCAATCTCCAAGCAACCCAGGTGAGCACAAGCTGTAAGAACACTAACCATGGTAAATTCATCGGGTACCATACCTGCACTTTGCATCTGGCGGAATACTTCCAGAGATTCATTGAAGCAATCAGCTCGTAGGTAACCATCAATCATAATAGTCCAAGAAATTCTGTCCCTCACTGGCATCTGATCAAAATATGTCCTTGCCAGCTCTAGATTCCCTATCTCTACAAACCCTTTCACAATAGATGTCCAGGAAATCACATCCCTAGACTTCATACCCTTGAAAATCCTTACTGCTATATCCATTTCCCCGCATGCAGCATATGCATTGACAAGAGCATTCTCCAATTTTAAACTGGGTTTTGTCATACACTCACTAACATACCCATGAATCCTTTTACAGAGATTCTTATCATTTACCTTAGAACAAGCCGAGAGAACAAGAAGTAACGTAACAGTAGTTGGAAAAACCAAGTTCCTCTCCATATCCGCGAAAAGCTCCACGCTTTCTTCGAATTGTTTCATCCTATTATACCCAGAGATCATCAAATTCCAAGAAAACACATCCTCTTTGCATCTCCTGTTGAAAACCCCACGAGCTATATCCACTAGACCACATAAAGAGTACACCTGAACAAGAGCATTCTGCACATAAAGGTTAGAACCTAATCCAAATTTGGCAACATGGCAATGCAGCTTCTTACCACAAGCCAACGCTCCATCTCCCTTAAGACCATTCAACAAGAATGGAAAGGTGTGGCTATCCGGAGTCACACCTTCCTTCAACATATTCAAATAAAATCTAACTCCTTGCCCACCACAATCCACCCTTGACCATCCCTTGATCATATTGTTCCACACAACCACGTCTGGTTCAGGAATTTTCACAAACAGCTTACAGGCATAACTCATGTAGCCACCTAAACGACTACACCAGAAGAGCAAGAGCTTCTTTTGTAATGTTGGGTTTAGTGCTAAACCTCTCGTAATGGTCTGGGAATGTAATTGCTTAAATTGGTCCGTCGTTTTGCAAGCTCCAAGGATAGAGATGAAACGGGAGTAATCATTGGATATAGATTCTCTGATCATTGAGCTGAACAGTAGCTTGAAGATAGATACTTTAGTGTTAATTGGGGATTTTAGTGGATTTCGCAAAACCCGGGAAAAAAAAATGAAAGAGCTCAGACGGCACTTGCTATCGTCACGGATGATCAGGACGACAGTGACGGTCAAGCCGCCACTTTATTTGTTTTATCTTCACCGCTCTATAAGTCGATCGAACTCGGGTCGTACCACCCAATCAAACCACTCGACCAGAACGACTTTTTGGTATAATACTAAAACTTAAAATATATATTGTGAATCAAAGCCCCCGTTTTGACTCGGTGGGTATGAGAGAACATTAAAAATGGAGTTTTGACAAAAATCGAGCGAGAAGTGAGTAAAGAAGGTATGAATCTCTACGGGCACGATCTCTCTCTTCTCGATTTTAACTACAACGTCTCCGGTCCCTTCGGCGAGTCGCTATCTCACCGCTTCCTCTCGCCTGGCCCTTTCTTCCAAGGGGGCGAAGACGACGATTATCGCCGCTACGTAAGCTACAGCCGCGACGGAGCTAATGGACGAGAACATGATACTGATTCGAGGATATCTCCGCCGCATCGTCATGACGGGAGGTCTCCGTTACCTCTGGGGATGGATTGGAGTGCTCCTCCTCGTCATTGGGTATGTTTTTTGTTTCCATTTGAGTTCATCTGGGATGTTAGTTTCTTCATGAGTTTGATTTTGCTTGGTGTAATAGTGCTTAGTTTCTTATGGAACATCTGCACTCTTTAAAATGGTGGTAGCTTCTCCTTTGTAGTTGGTACTAGTCTGCTTCATTGTTCATAGCTGACTTAACTTTTGAAAGATTGCTTCCACATTCCCTTAAAAAAAATTTTTTCTTTCACGTTGAATGGTTTGGTCCATTTGAGTAAGGGAATAATCAATAGATTCATTGACACAAGTTTTGTTATCCTCTGTTTTTTTTTTCCCTGTCTTGTCATAGTTTTGTACTACTCTTGCATTCTTGGTTTAATTTAGAATTCGTAAGCGTTCTTAGATTTGGGTTTCATTTTCCACTTTTTGTTTCCTGATGATGAAAACATACTTCTTTGTTTTAATAGTTTTGTGTCTTTGAGTGTAAATTTTTCCTAGGAAGGACGGAACACTGTATGGCCACATGATTCTCGAACTGGTTGGAGTTACTGTGTCACTGTCCCCTCTTGGGTTGACCTTCCCAAGTCAAGCGTTTCAGATCCTGCCGTGGTGTGTATTTATTATCTTTACACATTGCTGTTTTTTTTTTTCTCTTTCAAGTCAGTCTTCTACTACCATGACTAGAATCACACTATCTTCTTTCCTGGTTTAACAGGATCAGTTATACATTAATTTTCACCTGATCACATCAATTATCATATGTTGGTAATAGTAACAGCTTTTTCTTAGTCTTAGGCTTATACTTCTGTCATTTTCAGTTTTTTAGAGTGCAAGTGGCGATACAATCTCCCGAGGGAATCACCTCTGCTAGGCTGATACTTAGAAGATTCAATGATTTCTTGGAGTTATATTCTTCAGTGAGTACATTCTTTTCTCACTACCCCTTTCTTAGTTCTGGCTTGCTCATTTGTTTCTCTATGGGAACGAAAAAATCATACTACGCTTCTACAAACAACTATGAGTTGCTTGGATATGATATTCAAACATTGTAATTGGGCTATGGTGTTTTCATCTTAAATTCCCTTTTTCAGATTAGAAAGGAGTTTGTGAAGAAAAGCTTACCCCAGGCACCACCAAAGAAGATTCTGAGGGTGAAAAACCAGACACTTTTGGAAGAGGTACATATCGATTCTCTCAACTTTAAGATTAGTGACTGCAAAAATATTCTCAAAATATTTAGTCTATTGCAGAGGAGGTGCTCTCTGGAAGATTGGATGAATAGACTTTTGTCAGATATCGAAATATCCAGAAGCGCTCTGATAGCAACATTCCTTGAGCTAGAAGCTGCTGTCAGGTCTTGTATGTGCTCTTCTTTTCGTTCTGGTTTTTTTTTCTCTTGTTAATGATATAATAGGAAGTGAATTTGTCCGAGCTCTTGTTCATGTGCAACGTATGAATAGTTTGATAATGTAATATTGTCTGAAAACCTTGCATATATAATATATTGCATGTGCAGTATGCCAGTATGTATTAATTTGCTTCTTACTCTTTACTCTCTACAGATTTTAATGATGAATATCAAGAAACTGAAGTTACCTCTGGGGACATTCCGTCACTTCTACCTACCACCAGCTCTGATGTTCCTGGTAGTTCAACAGTTATCGTGGATCATGGCAATGATTCTGCTGATGAGACATCTGATGCCTCAACAATGAAGTATGACAAAGCTAGTCTCCAGAATCTTATCTCAAGGAATTCAACTTCTGAAAATGATGTCACTGATTGGCATGAATTAATCACAGAATATGGACTTTTAGATAAAAGTTTGGTCCATGAAAAAAGAAAATTTCTTTCTATTACTAATGGAGCTGCAGAAACTGGTACTGTTACCGGAGGGGGAGTTTCTAGTGGAGTTGGAATTCAGAGGTTGGATGGAAGTGACAGAAAGTTTCAAGAAAAGAGTATTGTAACTCCTGAGGAACCTGATTTAGTTAATCAATGCTCTATGGATATTCATGATGAAGTTCATGGTAAAATATATAGTGCCATTAATGAAAATACTGAGACTCAGAACAGTCTGGCTATTGTACTTCGATCTGAGGAGAGACAGAAGTTAAAGAGGGTTATTGATATGTTGAAGCAGAGACTTGAAACAGCAAAAGCTGACACGGAAGATCTCATCTCAAGGCTGAATCAGGAGTTAGCTGTTCGACAATTTCTATCAACAAAGGTGTGCAAAACATCACACGTGTTTGTTCTCCCCTTTGTCCTTTAGTCTTTGAATGGATGAAATATGTTGCTTTGCGTGTTCGCGATTGGTCTTGTAGGTAAAAGATTTAGAGGTTGAACTTGAAACAACTCGGGAGAGCTGCAAGCAAGGTATGGAGAAAACAGTTCTGGATGAAAAGGAAAGATTTACTCAAATTCAGTGGGATATGGAGGAACTCCGCAAGCAATGCATGGATATGGAATCGTTTTTGAACTCTATAAAGGTTTTGGGTTCTCTGAATTTCTTTCAAATATAACTTTCATTTGCATTTAATAATAGATGTCTTTCTTTATATTTGACTTATAGGACGAGAAAGCACATATTGAGACTGCAAATCAGTCACTTGTTCAGGAAAATCAGATGTTGCTGCAGCAAATCAATGATCTAAGCCTAAAAATTGAGAATTTTCATAAAGACCATGAAGAGCTGGAAGTGAAATCAAAAGCAGAGCTGAAAGTACTCGTCAAAGAGGTCAAATCTCTTCGAATCACTCAATTAGAATTGAGACAAGAGCTTAGCCGCACAATGAAAGAAAAACTAGAGATGGAGGTAATAATGCTCGTTGCAGGAGATTTATTCAAGTTTATTAATTCAGTAAAATCTTCTTCCAACAATTGGAAAATCTGGCAATTTTAATGCTTAAATCTTCTGCAATTTTCAGAGAATTGTTCAACGGGAGAAGGATAAAGAAGAAACTGCAAACGCCGCAGACAAGAAGTTGCTTCATGAGTATGATGTTCTACAAAATCGGCTTCAAGAGTGCAGTGTCAAGTTCCACATCGAGGAAGAAAGTAAGTTAATAATGGATTCATCATCTCCATCTGAAGCCATCGAGCTACTAGCAACATCTGATAACCGAATAGGTCTTCTAATTGCTGAGGTATGTTTAACTAACCAAATGCTTTTTTATTTATTCTGAGTTTATGCATGTTGAGATGCAAAAAGTTAATGTTTTCTTGAAAAACAGACACAGCTTCTCTCAGAGGAAGTGGAAAAGCTGAAGCTAACATCGGGAGGGCATCGTGGAACAGATGATGTAGTAAGGAAGATGCTGATGGAGGTCCTGATTGATAATGCCAGATTAAGGAAGCAGGTTAACTCTGTTCTTCGTTGCTCTTTGTCTGGACGTGTAATCTCACACAGAGAAGCCGGAACAGAAGAGGAAGTAGAAGAGCACGAAGGAAGTAGTGAATTAGCAAGAACTGTTATGAGCAAGATCCTTGAGATATGATTTTATCAGGTTTTTCTAGAAACTATGCGTTAGCGTCTGCGTTTATATTGGTTTACAAACAAAAAATGTTGGCATGGGTTGAATCACAAATCTTTGAATTCTAGTAAGTGTATATATCTAGATATAAAATAAAGTGTAAAACTGACATTGTGATGATGTTTAGTGCACCAGAGTTTTCTCCTCTTCGAATAGACTTCGACGATGTTTAAAACCAAACATTGGAGATGATGAAGCGAGAGATAAGGCAAACTTTTTTTATTATACACCGCAAAAATCTTTGGGTTACAAAAAGATCATATTAACCGTTCAGATTTATATGTCGATATGATGCAACCTTGATTATAATGAGAAAACTCACTTTTCTCAAGTTTATGCCATCTTATTTTTTTAGAGGAATTTGCAAAATGATCGTAAAATACATTAATTAAAAAGTAAGAAACAATGAAAAAGAAAAGATTAAAAAATAATAGAAAAGACATATTCTATGTATTTTGTGTATATTATTCTTCTATCTTTGTGCAAAATCGCAAAGCTGATGATCATGTCATCTAGAATTCCAATGATACCTACCTAACAGACTGTTCTCTTACGAGGTGGCAGCAACACACGCTCATGGTCCAAGACCAACGATGGATCTAAGTGAAGTGTCATTGGTATCACCATGTCATATCCTAACTCGGATCCGAAAAATTTAGCACGGATGCCTTTTTTGATGTCTTTGGTAATTAAACGCAGCCTTTTTGTTGCGACATCAAGAGAGACAATGGTTTCAGGTAAATATAAGTAAACGAGGAGAGGATTGTCTGGGTGGCAAAGTAAAGGATGTGGAAAAATGATGCGCTCTCTGGTTTCTGAACGTGGCTTTCTATCCATGAAAACTGACAAGAAAGACATGTAATGTTTCTTAGTTGTCTCCAGATTATATTCCCGCATGTAGTCTTGTATCCACGGGATACCCGAAACCATGTCTCTGAAATAGACAGAGTCGTGCTCTTGTTTCCACAGGGGTTGTTTGTAATCCACGAGTGTCCAAATAGAAACATGGTGATGATCATCTAGAAAAAAAAAGGAGAGAAAATTAACTACCATTAGTTTCTAGCTATAATTATAATTTCAAAGTATAGGTTTTAGTAACTCACTAGGAAAGGGATAGCAAACGAGCTGAATGATGCGGAGATGGCCCATGGAGACGGTTAAGGTCTCTGAAACGACCGCGCCGTCACCATAAGAAGCATGGCGCATCTCTTGGGAACGATGGATGAATATGCATTGACGCCTATATCTAGGGCTGTAAGCTACAATAGGTCCGTCGTGGGCTAACCAATGTAGAGCTTTGTTAAAGTTCAAGGCCTGGCATTGCGTTGGCCACCATCGGGACTGTGACCAAGGCGGATGCTTGATACGATATAATTTCCATTGACCCCGCTTAGAATCCAACATGAAAAGATTAAGTTGAGAAGGTGTAGACGATAGTAGCTTGACAACATAGTACCTGCTCGTTGAGTCATTCCCTAATAACCCGATAGGATATACTTTGAACTCGTGGCGAGTATCAGGAAGACGGGTCCATCGCATTGTCACAGGATTCACAATGTAGTATTGTGATAGTAGCTTACGACCTGGACCGTTATATTTCATGCATAGCAAAACGTCTTTGTAGGAGGCTAGAACACAAACCGGAGAATGATTAAACTCAGGATCGATATAGTTGTTTAAACTGAATCCTCTCCAACCGTCTAAGCATGTGTCGTTTGTAGCACAGGGAGGCTGTGTGTTGAGGATCAAAGCGAAGGACTTGTTATAATGAAAAGAAGAAGATAGCACATAATTCCACGTCTTGCTCACGCTTTTGCAAACGATGACATCTCTGGGATTAAGTAGCTTTGAGAAGATCTCTACCAACAGTAAGCTCTCAGGTAAGTCATCGATGGTGCTTGTTACACAAGGATCAATAGCTTTGACTTGTCTCCTTTTTATCCGACTCAAAGCTCTATTCCTTTTTCTCGACGACGCCATTTTACCTAAGTTTCAGTAACTTTGCATGCGGTGCGTATTAGCCCTGGGCAAAATATTCGTTAGATTCGCTTCGCTTCGATATTCGTTTCGATTCGATTCGAAAAATTCAAATATCTATAAGATATTGAACCAAAGCAAATATGAAAATGTAGTATTCGTAAAAACCGAAGCAAATAACAAATATTGATTTTCTTATTACCGAATATCCGCTTCGCTTCGTATATTTATATATGTATTTATATAAATCATTTTATAATATATATATATATATATAAAATATGTGTATTTATAGATTTGGGTATATATCTTATAGGCTTATTATTCAAATTATTATATTTTGGTCCGTTGGTTTTTTTTGCTATATGTTGTTCTTAAGCAAATAAAACTTTATTAAAAAAATTAATATTAAAAATAAAATGTGAGAATTCTATGGACGGTGGTTACATTTTCTTCTTATTTTGAAAACATGTCAAACATGAACTTCTAATATCTCATATTTTGCACTTTATATTTGTGTACTATATGTTTTTAGTTTTCAAAAAAAATTAGATGGGTCGAAGCGAAGCGAAGCAAGTAATTCGCAAATATTACGAAAAATATTCGAATATTCGAAGTTCCGAATACTCGAAAATTTACGAAGCGAAGCAAATAGCAAAATCAACTATTCGGTCGAAGCGAAGCAAATAACAAATATCACAAATTTTCCGAATATTCGCTTCGTGCCCCGGGCTAGTGCGTATCTATCTATATAAATAAAGCAAAGTCTTAATCCTCGTTGAGGAAAAAAGAAAAAAGTCCTAATCCTTATGGATTTATGTTTTGTAAATTTTTTTCCATTTATTTTAAGTGATAGACGAGAATATTATTAGTCTTAAAATATTTTAACTAGATTCTCCTAAATCTTTTAAATATTTACCCTTTCTTTTTGGTTATTTAAATATTTCGAACAAAAACGTTTATGAGTTAAAGGAAATAAATAACCCAACTTTTTGTGAAAAATTATCAATAAACTCCTCGGTATAAAAAGGGAAGAAATTTTTTGTAGCAAATTTGTAATTTGGAAAGAAAAAAAAAACACATGGTAGTTTTACCTTACTTAAATTTTACATCATTATTAATTTATATTACGACTTACGAGGGGAATGAAAGGAATGGCAAGATTAGTTTCGTGAACACGACACCGTTTGGTTTGATAGATCGAACAATTTTACATTGTTTCTAGATCTTTAGAGAATTAACTATTGAACTTCCACAAATGTGGACTAAAATCTTTGGTGTCAACCCATATTGGGACATTGTTATTCTAATAAAAGTTTGACCCAAAAATAATAATTTCTTTATTTAAAAAATCGAAAATGGATGTACATATCTATCTACCGTTATTAAAACTTAAAAGTTACAGATCTAACCATACTAAATCCAAAAACTCATTCCATTTTTTAGTATCCATCGGGTCCTTCACTATTTTCTCTTCTTTTTCATCGTTTCAAAAATCACAAAAATTGTCAAACTTTAAGTATTTGAAAATCTAAAAATCACAAATAGTTCGTCGAATACAATTAAAGATAACCCAAAATTGGGTAAGTTAAAATTGATGATTATTCGGTAACGTGTCTCATCTTAGCAATTTCGGCAGGATCATGAGAACTGTAGTATACAGTATATACTTTTTGTCCAAATCCCAAAATCACTTTCTTCTTTTTTAAAAATTGTGTTAAAAAAAAACCGACGCAAAACGTGAAAGACGCGATATAAAGTTTGTGTTTGCGTTTAAGACGCGATATAGAGCTTCAAGAACCGACGCAAAACGTGAAATGTGTTTTAGTTAGGCGTGTGTGTCTCTCTTATCCTCTCTGTTCACGCCATTCACAAGACTGTGTGCGACTAGATTTAGAGAGAGAAGAGAAAGATGTCAGGTTCTGTCTTCGTTCCCGGTATGGCAATTGGAGTTCCGACGCTTTCTCGTTCTAGCTCTCTTCACCGGAGCTTAGAGCCCACGAAGAAGAAGACCATGAGTAGTGTCAAATTCGCAACTATTTTTCGAAATCCTTCAAGCAGTTCAGGGGCAAGAGGGTCATTTCGTGTTACGGCTTCCGATCAGCGGTCGGAACAAGCCGATAACGGTCAAGGGGCTCAGGTCAGTTCTGTGGAGCTTTTTGTTTTTTTTTTTGTATTGGAGGGCTCAAGGAATTTTCAAAATTATAAGATAGCCCCCTGTATTTTGAATTTGATCGAAAAAGTCATGACATTTTATTTAAGTTTTTGGACTCAAATAATTCAAAATATACAAATAAGTCCTCTGTCTACAGGAGGACTTAAACTACTTGCTGAAGCTCGGAGTTGGTTCAGTGGCTGGCGCAGCTTTAATCAAATACGGAAGTGTCTTGTTCCCTCAGATCACAAAGCCTAATCTCACTCAAGCTCTCTTCATTATCATCGCTCCTGTTGTAATCTCTGTTATCCTTTTGATCCTGTCATCATCTTCCTCCAAGAAACAGAACTGATTGGGAAATATGTGTATATCTAATTCAGCTCATTGTGAAAAAGATCATCTGTTAGTTGTGAGAAAGTTTCACTGTATAATCCAGAAGAAAAGATTCAATCTTTGAAGAATAACCAAAAGTATCACAATTTGCCTTTTATGTGCCAATACCACACCGTACAAACTCCAATATAAGTGATCATTATGAATGAAGAAACACACCCAAAAAAAAAGAAGCAAGGCCTCTGGACAATGTACCAGTGATAGAGAAAAACTAGCAAATATGAACAGAAGATTATGAAAAAATTATCTGAGAAAATGAATTTATGTGCCTAGCCATTCCTATGGTTGTTGTTGTTGTTGTTGATGATGATCCTTGTCTTCTGAAATCACATCTGAGATTTCCTCTGCAACCTGCTCTCTATTGTTTTCGTTGCTGCTAAATGGATTCTTGAAAAGCGGATTGGCTTCAAGTTCACACATTTCCTCCTTTGATTCATTCATCAGCATCTCCACCACTTCAGACATTGTTGGTCTTTTCTCTGTCTCTGTCTGAGCACACATTAGCCCTACCAAGACTAATTTTCTCAGCTTCTCTTCAACATGTTCATCACCCAGCCTCTGGTCAACGATGTCAACAAACTTCCTTTCGTAAACTAGTGGTAAAACCCACTCGGTTATACTCCGCGTGGTTGTTGGATTTAGCCTTTCAAGAGGTCTCTTGCCACTAACAAGTACCAGCAAAAGTATGCCAAAACTGTACACATCGCTTGTTTCTGATTCATTTCCTGATGCAACACATTCTGGTGAGATATACCCATTACTACTTTTGGCTTTGGTAGCTCCATCTCCAGTATCATCTGGCATCAACTTACCATATCCAAAATCTGTAACACGAGCTTCGTATTCAGAATCTAACAACACATTGCTAGCTCTCACATCTCCATGGATAATATGTGGGGTTGCGTGCTGGTGTAGATAGCTGAGCAAAGAAACAAAGTGTCAAAAACTGTGACATATTAACCTTAGAATATCTGGTTTTGGATTTTCAGACTCACGCAATGGCCTGAGCAGAGCTTATGGCAATCTTCATCCGCTTGTTCCAATCTAAAAGGCACTCAGCTGAATGCTGGCCATGAAGATGTGAAACCAAGCTCAAATTGGGCAAATACTCATATACAAGAAGACGTTCTTGTCCTTCTGCACAGTAGCCACGAACACTCAACAAATTCTTATGACGAATACGAGCAAGAATCTCGATTTCCACAGCAAAATCAGTCTCCTCTCTGTTACTCCAAGCTTTCAATCTCTTGACTGCAATCTATAAAAAAGACAAAAGCATCAACCTCACATAAAGTTTTAACAAAAGCAAGTCCTAGACAAAACTTTAGATCAAAAGAGAAAAGATTGGTTCAATTACTTGTGATCCATCCCATAGCTGACCCCAATACACACTACCAAATCGACCTTCACCGAGCTTGTTATCGTAATTGAAACTGTTAGTGGCCGCATGAAGTTCTTTCAATGAAAATATCCTCCAAGATGGCTCTGTCTTTTCCTTCTTCTTCCTGTGTAATCATATCACATCAAACCAAACTTAGTATCCTCAAAAAAAAAAATCCATTTTAAATTGATTCATCAATACATTTAGAAACAGAAAATTTTTTATGAAATGCACAACAGTTGAATCAATCATAGCGGCTACAAAAGGAATAAGTAAGACTAACCTAATAAAACCAATCAAATTACAAGTTATGATAAAACTCTCAAGTAGGATCAATCAGGTCATATATACATAGTAATGAAGATAAAGAAAAGGAACAAACTTTACATTCAGAATAAGCTCAAAACTGATATTGAATCTTAAACCCTAATCAAGGTGAATAACCATAACCAATTTAACCAAAAAACACAATTTTTCAGGAACCCAACAAACGAAACATCAGACAAATCCATAAAATGAAAGAGGACATCAAAAGATACATACCCTTCAAATCCTTTTCCACAACAGCTATTAAAAAGTTGCATCTTCCGAATAAACCCAAACAAAATTATAATCAGCTCCCTCTGTCTTTAGATTCTTCCTCGTACGTTTTTTTTTTCTGGAGAAGGTAACAGCAAAATAGAACAATCCTAAGTAGCTCTAATTTCGTCTCGATGTAAGATTGATAAACAGAGAGCGAGAGAATTAGTCGTAATAGACTTTTTATTTATTTTGGTCTATTAAGCTTTTTGCACGCTTCATTTTTTCTTCTCGCAGAAACTAAATTTAAAAAAAAAAAAGCTGATACAGAAAAAATCATACATAAATAAATAAAATGATAATACATTTTTTTTTGATAAAAATGAAGAATTAACATTTAAAAAAATAACAGAAAATCCGCTGTACAAAAGTGTATATTATAAGGTCAAACTGTATATATTACAAATGTGTATATTAATATGTGTCGGGGGGTATTTGATCTTATTAAATTTGAAGTTGTTGTTGTTGTCATCGTTGAGGGTCGTCTGATGGTGAGTGACGACAACTCATTGAGACTCTTTTTTATATTCTATGTTTGAAATACTATTAAACAAAGAAATAGAAGATTCTACGATCTTTATATATCAAATAATATTTGTTTGGCCTCTCTCTCTGGTTACAGAAATTTGAATTGAAGTGGCACAACAACATCATTACGTTTACTAATAAATTGCTATCTAATCAGGTTGATCAGAAGTTGAGTAGTTGAAGCTTCATTTGAGGTGATGATGCTTCACTAACATGGGGTTAAGGAGATATCGTTTGCTAATTAATTGCAATGATTTGATAGTTTTGTTTTTGTAGGTGCCATTATTGTCAAAGTGGATTTGATTGTTCAAGAAAAAACATGATAAGTGGGACAAAATTGGAAGCCTTAATCTCAATTGGGCCAGTCCAATTTCAATATGCTAGACTTGAAAGCCCAAACCGATTATAATTTGACTTATCCTGATAAAAAGCAAAACTGTCCAAAAACAAAAGCTAATAAAAATATATAAAGTTTACTATATATATTTAGGAAATATTTTTGCAGAAATATGCATGTATGTGTCGTGTGTAATTTGTAATATCTTGCAATGTATATTGTAACTTTGTGTGGTTGATAATTTAACACATTCATCTTACACAAAAGCCTAATAAAAAGAGTAGTATGCATGCATAATCTATTTATGGAATTGCGTTACAAAAACAGTAACAGATGATTACTACAAGAATAAAAAAGAAAAATACACATTTTTACATTGACTTATTTGTTACCACGTATGGGTTTATATTTTCTAAAAGTAAATAATCCAAAAAAAAAACCTTACCTTTTGTTTGCTTCCTATAAATAAAAATAAAGAAAAAGGAAATTAACAGATAATATATTGTGATTTACTGATATTCTTCTCAATTCCAAATAATAAAAAATGTTTTTTTTTGTAAATATATTTAATAAGGATTGACAGTTAGTGGATGTCGTAAATAATAGTAATAAATATAATTATGGCACTAAATTCTACACAGAAAGAGAAATAAACCAATTTATCAGATTCTCTACTTTTTATGTAATTGGTTTGGGAGAGAAAAAAAAAAAAAAAAAGAGAGAGAGAGAGCGCATTAATAAAAATATAGACAGCAGTGATGTACTAGATTCGCAACAACATAAATTACACGTCATTAAAATAAATAAATAAAAAGGAGCTTTTTTTTTTTGTACATAGTTATGGGGGAGGTGGGGTGCGAAGTAGATTAACATTTTCCTTTTTACTTTTTTTGTTTTAATTAATTGGGAGTATAAATTCCTCTATCTACAAAATACACGCTTCTATTAATAAAAACAAAATATTAATTAAAAATAGAGGGCCAACGACCACACAATTAAAAAGAAAATATAATAATAATAAATGGAAAAAACAAATAAATCCAAAAAAAAAAGAAAAGGAAACTCCGAAAACGAGACAACATCAGAAATCATCGCCATAAATAGCCCAAAGCCCCTCCCCACGTCTCTCTCTCTCTCTCCTTGTTCTCCAAAGTCGTCTTCTTCTTCTTCTTCTTCGCTCTGCTTCTTCGCTCTCTCTCTCTCTTTCTCTCTCTATCTCTTTGTTCAAAGTCAAATTCAACCACCAGGTATAATAAAAACTTTTCTTTTATCCTCTCCTCGGGAGCCTCTCTCTCGAATATTCTCGCACGTGCGCATCTCGTGCCACCTGGAGAGGGGGATTCGTTTTCTTCAATTCGATCGATTTCGTTTTGTTTTTCTTTTTTTCCTTAGATCTGTTTTTCTTTTGTTAATGGGTGTGAGGATGATGTGTTTGTAAATTCTTTTTTATTTTTTTTTTAATTTTTGAAAACCCTAATTCTCGTGATTGTGTTTCATGAGTGGTATTGTGATCGATCTGTTACTTTGTGAGACTAGTAGAACAAGAAGAAGGAGAGGAGGAGCAGATTCTTATTATGTCGTCGCTCAGCAGAGAACTCGTCTTTTTGATACTTCAGTTTCTCGACGAAGAGAAATTCAAAGACACTGTTCACAGGTTTCTTCTTTTTTTTCTTTTCCCTGCATACTTTAATTTGTTTAATTGTGGTCCTGCTGTGTTTTATTGTCGGGATTAGAGTAGCGTTACTAGTGTATAATCCGAATTGTGTATTTTAACTAAATATATTTGTATTTAATCGCCATTATTAGTTCAATGTGTTTTGTCAAGTATTGATTTTTTTTTCTCTCAAATGATATACGTAGTTTGAATTTTTGAATTTTTTAAATCTGCGTTTCTAAATTGATTTTGGTTTGTTTTGCTGAGGCTTGTGCTGTGTGTGTTTTCTACTAGGTTGGAGAAGGAGTCTGGTTTTTTCTTCAACATGAGGTACTTTGAAGACAGCGTAACTGCTGGTGAGTGGGACGATGTCGAGAAGTACCTTTCTGGATTCACTAAAGTAGATGATAATCGATACTCCATGAAGATTTTTTTCGAGATTCGCAAGCAGAAGTACCTTGAAGCACTTGACAAGTATGTTTCTTTGCGTTTTCGTCTATTAGATGCCAATGTGAGATGAGTAACAGGGGCTTTGAGGGTACGCATTGCTGATAGATTTTCCCTTCTGTTTCTTCTTATGTTTTCCTAGGAAAGATCATGCCAAGGCGGTTGAAATTCTTGTTAAGGAATTAAAAGTGTTCTCTACATTCAACGAAGAGCTTTTTAAGGAGATTACCATGCTTTTAACCTTAACAAACTTCAGGTACATTCTTTACTTTCTTATCCCCTGTATTATGTTTGTCTGAAATTAGTATGGAAGAGAGAAATTTTAATGAAAATGTTTACTGCTTCTCATTGTTGAGTTGATTACTTGATCACTGGATTATTAAAAACCATGCTCTTGTGATGTTGATTTTTATTATTAATAATCCATTTTTCTTGCATTCTCCAAGGGAAAATGAGCAGCTGTCCAAGTATGGAGATACTAAATCCGCAAGAGGTATTATGCTGGGGGAACTTAAAAAATTGATTGAGGCAAATCCTCTCTTCCGAGAAAAACTTCAATTTCCCAGTTTGAAGAATTCAAGGTTGAGAACCTTAATAAATCAAAGGTACGAGCTTTTTATTTTATTCTTTTTGCTTCTCTCCCGTTTTTTGTTTTGGTAGAACAACTAACTGAATATTGCTTCTGCTAAATCGTAGTTTAAACTGGCAGCATCAGCTTTGCAAGAATCCCAGACCTAACCCGGATATAAAAACACTCTTTGTTGACCATACATGTGGGCATCCAAATGGTGCACACACTCCTTCCCAGACAACCAATCATTTAATGGGTTCAGTCCCTAAAGTTGGAGGCTTCCCACCATTAGGTGCTCACGGTGTAAGTTGTTCTAAAATTAAAGCTGTTGTTGGAATTTGGATTAGTTTTTAGCACATGAATTTTACATTGTAGTCTATAACCTATATGCTCTTGATACAGCCATTTCAGTCAACACCAGCTCCTCTGACAACATCTCTTGCAGGATGGATGCCTAATCCATCTGTACCACACCCTACTGTTTCTGCTGGGCCTATAGGCTTAGGTGCCCCCAACAGTGCTGGTAATGTTCTCCCGACTGGTTAAAGATTTAGTTTACCGTATTAGCTATATGGTTATGTAAGATACCATCATTTGATTAGATCACCATGGGTTGGGTGGTTTTTTGGGCATCTTTGATAGCCTGAACTGCAAGAAATGATAGAAATATATTTACTGTGTCACATTTCCCAGACTTGTAGTGGTAAACTGTCTCCGTGGTGGATAACAGAGATAGAAATATGCTCATATGTGGCGTTTTGTTTGATTTCAAAATACTCTTGTTTATGGATGTTAATTTAGAGTAGTAAACTATCTTAATGTCAGATAACCTGAAGGTGCTGTTTTATGTCTAAAATTCTTTCTACTGTTATTTTTGTAGTCCATACTGTAGAGATCTATTTTTGTCTGTTTGCCAATTAGATACCTTATCATAATCTATATTCTTTACTTACTCCTTGCAGTGTCTATGTTAAAGCGTCCCAGAACTCCTCCAAATAATAGCCTATCAATGGATTATCAGACGGCAGATTCTGAAAGTGTGTTGAAGAGACCCAGACCTTTTGGTATTTCAGATGGGGTAATAACGGCTCCTTATTTGTTTTTCAGCTTAAGTTCTCTTTAATATCTTAGAAGTCACAATTTTCTTAGAACATTTTGCAGGTTAATAATCTTCCAGTCAATGTCTTGCCAGTCACATATCCAGGGCAAAGCCATGCACATGCAACTTATTCTACCGATGACTTACCCAAAAATGTTAGCAGGATTCTGAGTCAGGGATCTGCCATTAAGAGTATGGATTTTCACCCAGTACAGCAGACTATGCTCCTTGGTTGGTTTTCTCCACTGAACCACGCATCATTCTTCTGATTTATTCTATCTTATATTATAGAATCTTGAAAAATTTGTACAAGACAGCATAATTTTTATCTTCTCCGTACTATCTATCTACTAACATTATCTTTGATTTACATTTGTTTCCTAGTTGGCACCAATCTTGGTGATATCGCAATTTGGGAGGTGGGTAGCAGGGAGAAGCTTATTTCTAGAAGCTTTAAAGTTTGGGATCTTGCTTCTTGCACTGTGAATCTTCAGGTATAGTTCCTCTTTTTATTGATCTAATGTGACAGTTAAAGGATAAATAGAGTAGAATATTTGTTAAGTAGTTAGA